AGAGTCCAAATTGCTTAGCAACTTGACTCAAATATGCAACCCAGTTCTTAGTCTTAGGTTATTTTGTTATGGCCATGGTATGCAAAAGCTGGCAGTGTTACTCATTTCTCTTTTAAAATCTTTAAATGTTCAACACATATTTGAGAGCTGCTACAAGCTTAGACATTGAGGATATGAGAAATGAGGCATAGTCCCCACTGTGAACAAACTTATAGTCCTATGGGGAAGATAGACTGATACTGATACTGCGTGATTAGTGCTATCATGGAGGTAATACTGGTAGGTAGGAGCATATTAAGAATGGTACCTGATACACTCTTGGGGAATCAAGGCAGGTGATCAGCTGGGACCTGAAGGATGAGGTAGCCAGGCAAAGAGATTGGTGGGGTAAGAGGGCAGGGAGAATAGCTTGAACAAAGGCCCAGAGGGGAGAGAGGGAGCTTGGCACACTTGGGAAAGTCCAGGTGGCTTAATAGGCCTGGAGTGGTGGTGAGAGGGAAGAGGGAGGGGCCTGGCAAAGATGAGATAGGAAGGGCCTTGAGTGCCAGGTTTAAGAGTATGGACTTTATCCAGAGAACAGTAGAGAACCTCTGAAGAGGAATTGACTTGATCAGATTTGTGTTTTTGGGTTTTTTTGGCGGTACGCGGGCCTCTCACTGTTGTGGCCTCTCCCGTTGCGGATCACAGGCTCCGGACGCCCAGGCTCAGTGGCCATGGCTCACGGGCCCAGCCACTTGGCGGCATGTGGGATCTTCCCAGACTGGGCACGAACTCGTGTCCCCTGCATTGGCAGGCGGACTCTCAACCACTGCGCCACCAGGGAAGCCCCCAGATTTGTGTTTTGATATAAGTTCTACTCACAGCAATTACGATCTGGTCAGGATTTATAGAAATAAAAAATTTACTTGTCATTTTTATTTTCCTTTGGTGCTAGAGAAACTTATGTCCATGACTTTTCAAATGTGGAATTCTTTCTTATTTCCTCTCTGCCTTTGTGGCAGGGTTCTTTTAATCCATCATTGCACCTCCCCTTGTAAGCTGACATTTCATCTTTCTGTTGCTTGTCCTCTTCTATCTTAAACTTGCTTGAAAAAATAAAAAGGAATAGTAAACTTGATTTACTAATCAAATCCTTTGATTTAAAATAAAGAAAACTAAAGGAATTCCCTGGCGGTCCAGTGGTTAGGACTCTGCGCTTTCAGTGGGGAAGGCTGGAGTTCATTCCCTGGTCAGGGAACTAAGATCCCACAAGCCGTATAGCATGGCCAAAAAAAAAAAAGAAAGAAAAAAATATAAAACTGAAAATAGTAAAACAGAGTTGACAACTCTATGGTAGATTTGTACTGAATCTTACCCAATTTTAGTACTTTTATTTTTATTACATAATACACAAGGTATATTTAAGATCGTTATTGAAGAAATAGTGGTAAGTTTAGGGTTTTTTTTTTAATTGCACAGAAGTCCCGTTTGCATAGTACTTCAAATTTGTGTAACCATTTTTAAAAATAGCTGTCTAAAAGTCCAGTATATCTGTGATATGAGTAGAAAGCATGTTTTAAATTGTTGGGTGGAAGGACAGAGGGAGACATGACATGACTTGGCAAGTTCACTTGCCCTGTAGGTTGTAAAGGTATTCAGTATAAGTAGAACCAGGGTATTTTCTCATTTGAAAATGCTGCAGAATCTGGAAATGTTAGTGTGTAAGAAGGGGAGGAAAATCTAATTTCGGTTCAGATAATTTTGTACAAGAAAATAAAATTCTAGAAACTAATATTAAGTTTTCAAAACAGCATTAGATTTGTATGGTCCATTGGTATCCAGCTTTCCCAGTTGCCAGTTACATAAGTCCCATGTTCTACCTCAGCTGTAGCACACGTGCTTTTAGTAGCTAATTCTTTTTCACAGAGTCACAAACTGAGAGGGAGGTTCTAATCCTTCTTCTTTTTCAGAGTTAGAGTGATCATGCATGTTTTTTCCTTTTATTTTCATCCAAGGGTGGCATAAGGGATGATGGGAATGTTGCCAGGTAGATCCAATATGCTGGAGGCATGTTTGCAGTTCTGTTTCATTTTAATTTCATATTAATAGCCTGTTAACCATTTTGGAGAGAAGTTCTTCATCAGCTTCCTTGAAAAAAAGAACACGCAGATGACTAATCCTCTCTCAGCCTCTACCCATTAGGCATCACCATCCTCCTTTGGTTGGCATAATTGCAGCTGGGCAAGCAGGCACTGCACCATCCTATGCTTCTCTAAGTATTCATCTATTTTAACTAAATAGGAACATTTGACAACGGTGTTATATTGTAGTATCTAATTAAAAACAAGTATTTCACAGCTTTTTTATGTATTTAAGTAATTCTTTAGTCATCCCTTTGATGTCTGAAGTGGATAACCCTATCAGGTAGTGATAGCCCTAATTTTTGGTCTTACTCATTTAAATTTAAAGATAACCATGGAAAAATTAATCTGTCAATAAACAGCTCAGTTCTGTGTGAACCCAAATTTTTTTTCTTTTTTTTAAAGCAAGTTTTGAAATATAGAGTGTATTATTCTATCTCTTCTGTGTCCAATAGGAAAGAAAAAGAACAACCAAAGTGGACTTCTTGAAGAAGATTGAGAAAGAAGTCCAACAAAAATGGGATGCCAAGAAAGTGTTTGAGGTCAATGCATCTAATTTAGAGAAACAGACTAGGTGAGTAATAGTTTGTGAAATTCTACACCTTGTGTTTCCAGAACCATTGGCTGCAGAAACTGCTCTGTGGAAGGAGTAAGGCAGATTGTATTTACAATGTCTGAAACAGGCTGAAGGAGGTAACTTCCACTTTCTCTATTTCAAATTAGCATCCTCTTTCCTATGGAATCTTAAAGGATTTTTTCCTACGTAAAGGTTTTTTTAAAAACTAATATTTTTCATAGTTAGACAAAGGAAAATGTTTTGAAGTTTTATCTTTGCTGACTGATAATAGCAAGTCATTCTGTTACAGAGATTCATATTATAGTGATAATTATCTCCAAAGGCACAGATTATAAATTTTGAAGGATTTCTGTATTTAAAGATCTTATTTTATAAATCTGTATTGCCTTGATGTTGAGAATTGTTTATTAGAAGACAGACCATAGATAATGATATGATATTGGGGAAAAACAAAGTAACTGCTGCAACACAGTACCACAGTAAATATATGCATCAATTATAAGATGCGTCACAATTTCAGATATGTTGGACTGTAGAAGAATGTGCTTCTTAGAGTTGAGGAAATGCACTGGCAACAATAGCAATAATAGTAGCTAATATTGAACAGGTATTGTTCAATATGCCAAGGCAATAGGAAATAGGCCATTTTTTAACATGCATATTCTCATTTAATGTTCTTAGTAACGCTTTAAGGTTACCAGTCTTTTAATTTTTGTTTTATTGATGAGTATACTGAGACACAGAGAGGTTAAGTAACCAGCTTAAGATTGCATGGCTAGGAATTGACAGGGCTTGGCCTTCTTATCAGGACTTTCTGATTCCAAAGTCTATCCTTGCTACTAAGTGACACTCTAATGGAATTTTTTTTTTTTTTTTTTAAAGAGAGGAAAAGAATTTGCTCTAATACAAAGTCTCTGGTGTTATACTTTAAACTATAATTTGAAGTTTCTATTTGTTTCTAGAACTTTGGTCAAATCTAGGGTAATTTAAAGTAATCAAAAGTGAATTAGAAAGTGCTTTTGCTCAGTGAAAGAAAATGAACTGAAGAAACTTAGAAATATAACACTGAATGAAAAAAGCTCACGAGTGAAACTAAATGATGTATTGTTTAAAGGCATAGACATATGTGCAAACTATTCAAAAACAAAGGAATGACAAAAGTAAATTTCAAGATAATGGTTCTCTCTGGTGGGAGGGTGGGGAGTAGCACACAGGTAGCTTCAGTGAGTTCATAAGTTGGATGGTGTGTTTACAGGTGGTCACTTATGAAGCGCAGGTGTGCTTTATAACTTATGTATGTCTGTTAGATACACTTGATTCATAGAAAAAAGGAGTATAACAATACATTAAGCAGCTTTAAAAAGGTGCTTTTTAAGGGAATTTACCCCATATTGTGTAATTTTGAGGATGTTTTATTTTACCTGAGAGGCTTTGAATTGCTTTATATATATCTAATGAAAGCATATCTCATTTAATCAGTAAAACAGTAAATTAATCCAGTCTCCCTATTGATTTTATTTTTTTTCAGTATATCATTTTTAACTCAGTATTTTAGCTTAGTTAAACCTCTAATATTTGCTACAAGGATATTTAGTTCTTTAATAACCACCTATAAATATCTTAGTTTTTCTAAATCAAAAACAAGTTTCAATTTTAGAGAGCTTTTAATTTCTGGATTTATAAATTTAATTTTCAATGTCTGTTAAATAACTAAAATTTAAACAAGTTATTTATAGTAAGTGTCCCCATGACCCTACCCTTAATTGTAAAAGGAATTTAACATTTTCTTTTTTGTACTTTCTTTTTTACATGATGCTTTGCAGCAAGGACAAGTACTTTGTAACCTTCCCATATCCATATATGAATGGGCGCCTTCACTTGGGACATACATTTTCTTTATCCAAATGTGAGGTAAAGCTTCCTCTATGTTTAATATAATGGGATGGGAGGGTCTTTAATAAATACTATTTTAAAGAAAATAGCATCTATAGAATTTATTTCCTGTTAAGGGAACTTAGAATTCCTTAATTTTAAGCATGGTTTTTATGTTAAAGTAATTTAATTTTTCTATTTTCACATGCTGTATGTGTGTGTGTGCAGTGGTCTAGGTATGTATACATGTTCATAAGTAATTTCTAGGTTGGTGAAAAGACAGAAAAAAAAGGATAACTTTGGAATGACTATAAAATCTAACTGGTATTCTAAAGGAAGATGTGAAGAGGAAAACTCATGATCTTTGTGAAAAGTCAGAATTTTGTATTCATCTAGCATTTAAATTTGTAGTTTAAATTGAATTTTTTTTCTATAGTTTGCAGTAGGGTACCAGAGATTGAAAGGAAAAACTTGTCTATTTCCCTTTGGTTTACACTGTACTGGAATGCCTGTTAAGGTAAGATTGCTTTTGGGATTGCTAAGGTAAGATTGCTTTTGGGATTGCTTTGTACTCTTTTTAGCTTAGAGCAAATTAAGCTTAAGTTAAACCTCCAATTAAAGAGCTTGAAATAGGATTTTCCAATATGTACTTCTATATTACGTTAAAGTGTTTTTTGAAGTGAACTGAATTTATTATCATGAAAATTAATTTTTAGAAAACATTTGGAGAAGGGCTTTAAGGGCACACATTAAGGTCTAAGTGATTTCTAAGTAATGCTGATATCTTTTGGTTCCTTATGTATTCATATTTCTGTTTTAGAATTAGATAATAACTACTAACAAGTAAAATGGGCAGTGTTTTGTGCATTCATGGCGTATATAGGCTGTTGGCATAAAATAATAAACAATTCTATCATTTTGGTCATTTTTGCAAGTGTCTTAAATTTTTCATAAATTCATAATAAAAATAATTTTCAATAAACGATGGGCAAGAAAACTACAGTTGAAAGGATTCCCTAAATCCTTGGGACTTGGGAAATATATCTCATTTCTTTTTATTCTCCAGTCTTTTATTTTGAAAAATGTCCAACCTACAGGAAAGGTAAAACAATAATGCAGTGAGCACCCATGTACCCTTCCCTTACAGTTACCAAGTATTAACATTTGCCACAGTTGCTCTAGTTCTGTTTCTCAACATACAATACATGCACACTTTCTTCTCCCTTTTTCTATGAATTCATTGAAAGTAAGTTGGCAGACATCATGACGTGTCACCCCTAAACACTTCAGCTTGTATCTGTTGAGAACAAGGGCATTCTTCTACATTGTCATAGTCCCATTATCCACTCCATGAAATTGAACATTGATGTATCCTTTATGGTGGTTTTTTCCCTTTTTATTTTGTGGATCACACTTTGCATTTGGTTATCACCAGTACTACATTGATGAGGTTGGAACTTCCCACTGTATCACATCAAAAGTCATATAATGGCAGCTTGTGTCATTTTAGTGATATTAAGTTAATAACTTCCAGATTTCCTCATTCTAAAGGTAACTTTTCTCTTTTCTAATTAAAAACTAATCTGTGGGATGATACCTTAAGAGCCTCTGAATATTTGATTACCTAGTAACTCAGTGGTTTTAGCATCCTTTCATTATCTTTGTCTTTCAGTTATTGAATTTGTGGTTGTAAAATGATGACTTTCTAGTTATCTCATTCTTTCCCTATTTGTTAGCTGAAATTCTTCATAGAAGTGTCCCCTCCCCCCTTTTTTTTTTGCGGTACACGGGCCTCTCACTGTTGTGGCCTCTCCCGTTGCGGAGCACAGGCTCTGGACGCGCAGTCTCAGCGGCCGTGGCTCACGGGCCTAGCTGCTCCGCGGCATGTGGGGTCTTCCCGGACTGGGGCATGAACCCGTGTCCCTTGCATTGGCAGGCGGACTCTCAACCACTGCGCCACCAGGGAAGCCCTACCCTCCCTTTTCTTTTTGAAATTCACAATTCTATATTTGTATTTTTCTCATAACTTTAACACTGTCTACTTGGTGTCATCTTTGTTTGTGACAGTGGACTCATGGTACAGCTGAAAAGAGCTGGGGTTGAAAGTGCAGGTTCATGTTGTAATTCTGCAGCCTACTATCTTTATAACCTTGGATAAATCCCTTCATCTTTCAGTGTTTGTATTCTAACTTAATGTCTGTCCTATCTACCTAAATTTCAGAGTCAGGTTTTTCTTTTAAATAAATTTATTTATTTATTTATTTATTTTTGGCTGTGTTGGGTCTTCGTTGCTGCGTGCGAGCTTTCTCTAGTTGTGGCGAGCGGGGGCTGCTCTTCATTGCGGTGCGCAGGCTTCTCATTGCAGTGGCTTCTCTTGTTATGGAGCACAAGCTCTAGGCACGTGGGCTTCAGTAGTTGTGGGCACGAGGGCTTTAGTAGTTGTGGCACGAGGGCTCTAGAGTGCAGGCTCAGTAGTTGTGGCGCACGGGCTTAGTTGCTCTGCGGCATGTGGGATCTTTCCGGACCAGGGCTCAAACCCGTGTCCCTTGCATTGGCAGGCGGATTCTTAACCACTGCACCACCAGGGAAGCCCCAGAGTCAGTTTTAGTTGGCCATAGAAACAACAAAAAAACTCAGATTGTTTCCACCTTGAATTTTTAACTTTACCATCTCTAATGTTGTGTTTTTTTGTAGGCATGTGCTGATAAATTGAAAAGAGAAATAGAGCTTTATGGTTGCCCCCCTGATTTTCCAGATGAGGAAGAGGAAGAAGAAGAAATCAGTATTAAAACAGAAGATATAATAATTAAGGATAAAGCTAAAGGAAAAAAGGTTTGGTGGTTTGATGATACTTATTTTGGTTGAAGTTTTATATTTATATTTGTCTGATTTATATGTACATTCCCAGTACTAGCATAGTACCTGACCCATAAAAAATACTCAGTAATTTTTAAAAAGTAATAAAGCAGAATTATCTTTCTCACTTTTTGATTGCCTTTTTTTCCCCTTATTTTGAAATAATTTTAGACTTACAGAAGAATTACAGGATTGTACAGGGTTCCCTTAGAATCTTAACCCAGTTACATCTTATATAACCATGGTACAGTTCTCAAAACTAAGAAACCAACATTGAACAATACTGTTTAAGAAACTACATACTTCATTTGGATTTAACAGTTTTTCCTTAATATCCTTATTCTGTTCCAAGATCCAGTCCAAAATCCCATTTTGCATTTCCTTCTCATGTCTCTTCTTCTGTCTTCCATGATCTTGGCACTTTTGAAGAGTACTGGTCAGATAACTTATAGAATGTCCCTCATTTTGGGTTTGTCTAATGCTCTCTCATGAGTAGATTGAGAGGTGATGTGTCTTCAATGCATCATATCAGGGAGTATAAGATATTGATATATCTTATTACTGGTGCTGTTAACCCTGATTATTTGGTTTGGGTGGTGTCTGTTAGGTCTTTCTCCTGTGAAGATTTTATTTTTCCCTTTGTAATTCATGTATGTTTTGAGAGAGATACTTCGAGGCTATGGAAATAATACCTTGTTTCTTTTTTTGTTTTTAAACCATTGCATTGTATACTTTATTTTTTAAAGATTTTTATTTATTTATTTATTTATTTTGGCTGCATTGGGTCTTAGTTGTGGCACTCGGGATCTTCGTTGTGGCATGCAGGATCTTTTAGTTGTGTGTGGTATGTGGACTTCTTAGCTGTGGCATGCGGGCTTCTTAGTTGTGGCATGTGGACTCTTAGTTGTGGCATGCGGACTCTTAGCTGTGGCATGCATGCAGGATCTAGTTCCCTGACCAGGGATCGAACCCGGGCCCCCTGTGCTGGGAGTGTGGAGTCTTACCCACTGTATCACCAGGGAAGTCCCAATGTCTTGTTTCTTTTTATATATTTGCTCACTAATTTTAGCATTCATCATTGGATCTTCCCTGCAACGGTTATTGCTGCATAGTTTGTTCTAATGGTGATTTTCAGTTTCCCTCATTCCTTCTACATTTATTATCTGGAATTCTTCTGAAAGGAAAAGTTGTTCTTTCTCCCCCATTTACTTATCTATTAATTTCTTTTTTATATCAGTGTGGATTCATGCATATTTATTTATTCTTTGGGTTATAATCTAATCCTATTGGGTTTTTTTGAGTTAATTGTTATTGCTCAAATTGTTCTAGCAATGGCCATTGGGGGAATCTTTTAGGTGGGCCCCTGTGTCCATTTGACATGCCCCCATCTTTTTTTCTTTTTTCTATTTCTTTCTTTCTTTTCTTTTCTTTTTTTTGAGCACTTCTATACATTCAGGTGCCATAAGATGCTTCAGGCTCATTTTGTATTTTCCCTGTTTTAGCCCCAGAGTCAACCACTTTTCCAACGAGTCCTCTTTCCTTTTATTGAAATATGGTATTTAGAAATTAAGTTCTGAGTACTAGTTATGCTCATTGTTTCTAGGTCCTCTCAGTAGAAAGAGCAAGGAAATATATGTATGTCTACTAACCCACTTATATGTACGTGTCTGTATTTATTTTTTATACATTTAAAAAAATTTCTTTATAGTTTTTAAAATGAGGTTTTTTTTAAATTAATGTAAACTCTTCCTTCCTTCCTTCCTTCCTTTCCTTTCCTCTCTTCCTCCCTCCCTCCCTCCCTCCTTCCTTCCCTTCCTTACTTCCTTCCTCTCTCTCCCTCCCTCCCTCCCTCCCTCCTTTACTCCATCTCTCTCTCACTCTTCGCAGTGTAACGTTGTGTTGGTTTGACAAGTGCATGGAGTCATGTTTCTACCACCACAGTACTACACAGAACAGTTTCCTCAGCCCCCAAATTCCTTGTCCTACCTTTTTATAATTCAGCCTTTTTGCCTACCTCCAGTCCCTGGCATGTGGTTACCTTTTTGATATTGGTAAATATTGGAAAAGGAGGAAACTCTTGTTAGCAGCTTATTCATAACTAAAAAAGATGCATGTGGTATTTGAAAAAAGGAAATAGAGAAGGTTTGGTGCTAAGATCTTATCTTTGTGATGATAACTTTTTATGGTTCCACCTCTGTATTGATAGTTATCTTTGGTGTCAGAATCCAGGTATCAGACTATATGGTTTGGCAAACAGAACAGTACATCCAGATCCTGCACTATTCTGACATGTCAACAGTATTGTTTTAGATTAAAAAAAACTACCAAATAGGATCATTCACTTAAAATTACTGTGGTCCTGGAATTTGTTAACCAGTTGTTAGTTATTCTTTGATGGAGTTTGGTTTTGCTGTTATTTTCAGAGTAAAGCTGCTGCTAAAGCTGGATCTTCTAAATACCAGTGGGACATTATGAAATCCCTTGGTCTGTCTGATGAAGAGATAGTCAAATTTTCTGAAGCAGAATATTGGCTTGACTATTTCCCACCACTGGCTGTTCAGGATCTGAAGAGAATGGGTTTGAAGGTATGCCCATCACCCCCAGAGTTTAAGGAAATATGAAAAATACATTATATTTGTGTGATTGAATGAGATTTGGACTACCTCTTAATTTAGAATAGTATATTCCAGTAATGACTCAGTACTGTTATTATCAGATTAGAACCACATGGGCCTCAATGTAAGCAATGAAGTACTTTGATATTTGTTGTTTTGGAAAGTATATACATTTATTAACAATTAGTAGAAAGGAATTCTACTCAAAGAATATGAAGAAGCCCACAACATTGTAAATCATCTGTACTTCAATAAAATTAAAAAAAAAAAAAAAGAAGAAGCAGCCCAAGTGTAGCTTGAATATTTAGGGATGCATAAAGGTGTTATGTAAATGCTCCTTCTCAATTTATTATAATTCCTGTATGTTTAATAGGTAAATGTGTGTGTTTAAAAACTTACATATTAAGCACAAATTAACATAATAATTATGACATTATGTATTTAATAGGTGGAACTTGAAATTTTTTGGTTTCCTTTGATATTTTTGATATAATTCTAAGTTGGAAAATAAGGAGTAGAAGAGTAAATAATTGATTTATGGGAATTCCTGTTCATAGAGACCATATAAACTTCTCAGAAATTACCTTTTCCTTTCTCCTTCTGTAGGTAGACTGGCGTCGTTCCTTCATCACCACTGATGTTAATCCTTACTATGACTCGTTTGTCAGGTGGCAGTTTTTAACATTAAGAGAAAGAAGCAAAATTAAATTTGGGAAGCGGTGAGTTTGTTGTCCTTCGGTATAATAAAGTAAAAATCATGTAATTCATGCATTGTAATTCAATGTGCCCCAGAGCTTACTTTTTTCCATTATCTTTTCTCTTTTTATAATTTCTCTTTTTGTTCTCTTGTTTCCTTTGAATTCCTTTTTGTTTGGCTGGTGTCTCAGTTTCTCTGAGCTGCTTAGTGTTTGTGACAAATAGAACCAGGGAGAATAGGGGTCTCACTAAAGATTTTCTCTTATGGTCTCACTAAAGATTATCTCTTATGTTCTCACTAAAGATTCTCTTAAGTATTCTAGCCAAGTAAAAAAATAATTTTATTTGTGTTTTAGTTTATCTTTTTGGTCTATAAAATCTTCTATAAAGTTCTTCCTTGATTATATGGACTCATTAAAAGCTATTTGCAATTTTTTAAAAATTTTTTAATTTTATTTATTTTTTTATACAGCAGGTTCTTAGTAGTCATCCATTTTATACACATCAGTGTATACATGTCAATCCCAGTCGCCCAATTCAGCACACCACCATCCCCACCAGCCTCGCGGCTTTCCCCGCTTGGTGTCCATACATTTGTTCTCTACATCTCTGTCTCAACTTCTGCCCTGCAGACTGGTTCATCTGTATCATTTTTCTAGCTTCCACATACATGTGTTAATATACGATATTTGTTTTTCTTTCTGACTTAACTTCACTCTGTATGACAGTCTCTAGATCCATCCACGTCTCAACAAATGACACAATTTCATTCCTTTTTATGGCTGAGTAATATTCCATTGTATATATGTACCACAACTTCTTTATCCATTCGTCTGTCAGTGGGCATTTAGGTTGCTTCCATGACCTGGCTATTGTAAATAGTGCTGCACTGAACATTGGGGTGCATGCGTCTTTTTGAATTATGGTTTTCTCTGGGTATATGCCCAGTAGTGGGATTGCTGGATCATATGCTAATTCTATTTTTAGTTTTTTAAGGAACCTCCGTACTGTTCTCCATAGTGGCTGTATCAGTTTACATTCCCACCAACAGTGCAAGAGGGTTCCCTTTTCTCCAGACCCTCTCCAGCATTTGTTGTTTGTAGATTTTCTGATGATGCCCATTCTGACTGGTGTGAAGTGATACCTCATTGTAGTTTTGATTTGCATTTTTCTAATAATTAGTGATGTTGAGCAGCTTTTCATGTGCCTCTTGGCCATCTGTATGTCTTCTTTGGAGAAATGTCTATTTAGGTCTTCTGCCCATTTTTGGATTGGGTTGTTTGTTTCTTTAATATTGAGCTACATGAGCTGTTTATATATTTTGGAGATTAATCCTTTGTCCATTGATTCGTTTGCAAATATTTTCTCCCATTCTGAGGGTTGTCTTTTCGTCTTGTTTATGGTTTGCTTTGCTGTGCAAAAGCTTTGAAGTTTCATTAGGTCCTATATGTTTATTTTTGTTTTTATTTCCATTACTCTAGGAGGTGGATCAAAAAAGATCTTGCTGTGATTTATGTCAAAGACTGTTCTGCCTATGTTTTCCTCTAAGAGTTTTACAGTCTCCAATCTTACATTTAGGTCTCGAATCCATTTTGAGTTTATTTTTGTGTGTGTTGTTAGGGAGTGTTCTGATTTCATTCTTTTACATGTAACTGTCCAGTTTTCCCAGCACCACTTATTGAAGAGACTGTCTTTTCTCCATTGTATATCCTTGCTTCCTTTGTCAGAGATTAGTTGACCATAGGTTCGTGTGTTTTTTTCTGGGGTTTCTATCTTGTTCCATTGATCTGTTTTTCTGTTTTTGTGCCAGTACCATATTGTCTTGATTACTGTAGCTTTGTAGTATAGTCTGAAGTCAGCGAGCCTGATTCCTCCTGCTCCGTTTTTTTCCCTCAAGACTGCTTTGGCTACTCGGGGTCTTTTGTGTCTCCATACAAATTTTAAGGTTTTTTGTTTTGGTTCTGTAAAAAATGCCATTGGTAATTTGATAGGGATTGCATTGAATCTGTAGATTGCTTTGGGTAGTATAGTCATTTTCACAGTATTGATTCATCCAATCCAAGAACATGGTCTCTCTCTCCATCAGTTGGTATCCTGTTTAATTTCTTTCATCAGTATCTTACAGTTTTCTACATACAGGTCTTTTGTCTCCCTAGGTAGGTTTATTCCTAGGTATTGCATTCCTTTTGTTGCAGTGGTAAACGGGAGTGTTTCCTTAATTTCTCTTTCAGATTTTTCATCATTAATGTATAGGAATGCAAAAGATTTCTGTGCATTAATTTTGTATCCTGCAAGTTTACCATATCCATTGACTAGCTCTAGTAGTTTTCTGGTGGCATCTTTAGGATTCTCTATATATAGTACCATGTCATCTACAAACAGTGACAGTTTTACTTTTTCTTTTTCAATTTGTATTCCTTTTATTTCTTTTTCTTCTCTGATTGCTATGGCTAGGACTTCGAAAACTATGTTGAATAATAGTGGTGAGAGTGGACATCCTTGTCTTGTTCCTGATCTTTGAGGAAATGCTTTCAATTTTTCACCATTGAGAATGACGTTTGCTGTGGGTTTGTCGTATATGGCCTTTATTATGTTGAGGTAGGTTCCCTCTATGCCTGTGTCTTTTGGTTGGAGCGTTTAATCCATTCACGTTTAAGGTAATTATCGATATATATGTTCCTATGACCATTTTCTTAATTGTTTTGGGTTTGTTTTTGTTGGTCCTTTTCTTCTCTTGTGTTTCCCACTTAGTGAAGTTCCTTTAGCATTTGTTGTAGAGCTGGTTTGGTGGTGCTGAATTCTCTTAGCTTTTGCTTGTCTGTAAAGCTTTTGATTTCTCCATCGAATCTGAATGAGATCCTTGCTGGGGAGAGTAATCTTGGTTGTAGGTTCTTCCCTTTCATCACTTTAAGTATATCATGCCACTCCCTTCTGGCTTGTAGAGTTTCTGCTGAGAAATCAGTTGTTAACCTTATGGGAGTTCCCTTGTATGTTATTTGTTGTTTTTCTCTTGCTGCTTTCAATAATTTTTCTTTGTGTTTAATTTTTGCCAGGTTCATCTTTTTTCTTTTTCTTTTTTTTAAGCCATACGCGGGCCTCTCACTATTGTGGCCTCTCCTGTTGCAGAGCACAGGCTCCAGATGCGCAGGCTCAGCGGCCATGGCTCCCAGGCCCAGCTGCTCCGCGGCATGTGGGATCTTCCCAGACCGGGGCACGAACCCATGTCCCCTGCATCGGCAGGCGGACTCTCAACCAGTGCACCACCAGGGAAGCCCCTAATTTTTGCCAGTTTGATTACTGTGTGTCTCGGCGTGTTTCTCCTTGGTTTATCCTGTATGGGACTCTCTGCGCTTACTGAGCTTGGGTGGCTATTTCCTTTCCCATGTTAGGGAAGTTTTTGACTATAATCTCTTCCAATATTTTCTCAGTTCCTTTCTCTCTCTCTTCTCCTTCTGGGACCCCTATAACGTGAATGTTGTTGCGTTTAATGTTATCCCAGAGTTGTCTTAGGCTGTCTTCACTTCTTTTCATTCTTTTTTCTTTATTCTGTTTCGCAGCAGTGAATTCCACCATTCTGTCTTCCAGGTCACTTATCCATTCTGCCTCAGTTATTCTGCTCTTGATTCCTTCTAGTGTAATTTTCATTTCAGTTATTGTATTGTTCATCTCTGTTTGTTTGTTCTTTAATTCTTCTAGGTCTTTGTTAAACATTTCTTGCATCTTCTTGATCTTTGCCTCCATTCTTTTTCAGAGTTCCTAGATCATCTTCACTATCATTTTTCTGAATTCTCTTTCTGGAAGGTTGTCTGTCTCCACTTCATTTAGTTGTTTTTCTGAGGTTTTATTTTGTTCCTTCACCTGGTACATAGCCCTCTGCCTTTTCATCTTGTCTGTCTTTCTGTGAATGTGGTTTTTGTTCCACAGGCTGCAGGATTGTAGTTCTTCTGCTGCTGTCTGCCTTATGCTATTTTCATTTTAAAAGCAAATTTATATTTTACAGTCTTCTGTTTTATACCGTAAAGCCAAGATCAGTGAGTATTTTTCAGTGGTATTACCTTTGATGAAGGCAGAAAGCTTTCATTAAATAACTATGTTGGCGATAGAACTCGCCATAAAAGCATAAAAATGATGTAGACATTTGCTCAGTTAGAAGTTTTAGTTAGAAGAAATATTGTGATGGTTAGGTGCAACACTGGCAAATATGTTAGGATAAAACTTGTACCTTATAATAATATTTGTCACTTATTTATTTTTTAGGTATACCATTTATTCTCCAAAAGATGGACAGCCTTGTATGGATCATGACAGACAAACTGGAGAGGTAATTATTTGTGCCATAGAGTAGCTATTGTAATAATTCTTTTTTTAATAAATTTACTTGTTTGATTATTTTTGGCTGTGTTGGGTATTCGTTGCTGCACGTGGGCTTTTCTCTAATTGCGGCGAGTGGGTGCTACTCTTTGTTGTGGTGTTCAGGCTTCTCATTGCGATGGCTTCTCTTTGTTGCGGAGCATGGGCTCTAGGTGTGCGAGCTTTAGGCACGTGGGCTTCAGTAGTTTGACACGCGGGTTCAGTAGTTGTGGCACATGGGCTTAGTTGCTCTGCGGCATGTGGGATCTTCCCGGAGCAGGGCTTGAACCCGTGTCCCCTTCATTGGCTGGCGGATTCTTAACCACTGCACCACCAGGGAAATCCCTATTGTAATAATTCTTAATTTGGGCATAGAGTTTAAGAAATAGATTAGAAATCTAAAAATCACTTTATTTCAGTGCTGAGGTATATAGTCATGATACTCTGGTGGCTGTTAAGCCAGAGGCACAATGTCATCATAGGTACCTGTATCTTGTCGAGGACCTTGCTACTCCAAGAGTAGCACTAGGTTCAGCTGCATCAGCTTGTGTTAGAAAAGCACATTTTTGTTTGTTCGTCTGTTTTTTGTTTTTGTTTTGTTTGTTTGGCTGCTGTGCCTGGCTTGTGGGATTCCCCGACCAGGGATCGAACCCAGGCACTCGGTAGAGAAAGCGCAGAGTCCTAACCACTGGACTGCCAGGGAAATCCTAGAAAAGCAGATTCTTGAACCTCACCCCCAAATTGCTGAATCAGAAGCTCTGGGGTTGGGGCCTAGGAATCTGTCTTTTAACATGTTCTTAGTGTGATTCATATGCCTGCTAATGTTTGAGAAGAACTGCTTGGAGAGTGCATTGCTCTAAAAGGAGAGCATGAGGAAAGGTAATGAGATATGTGGTTAACTGATGTATGCAGATTCCATTTATACTTGCTTTGGTCACATGCCTACTTACTTATTTACAAAGTACTTCCAGCCATGCATGACATCAATTCATTCTACATTCCTGTAGGGCACATTAGTGACATTATTCCTTGTAATACTTGACTTGTAAGTCATTTGCCTAAAGCCTACATTCCTGTAGGGCACATTAGTGACATTATTCCTTGTAATACTTGACTTGTAAGTCATTTGCCTAAAGCCTTGGCACAGTAAATCAACAGCAATGCCAGGATCTGAACTTTGTAGTCCCTATGAGTGTGTCATTCTTTGTTACCACCTTTGAACACATTTGTAGTCTAGCAACTACCTTTCAAAATCAGCCTTCAATTATGATGTAACTTATTTGACAGAAATGAGCATTAATCAAAATTTTGAATGATTTGAGAGCCTTCAGAGGCCCAGTTTGCTATGCTAAGCTTTAATATAGTCAGTGGTAGCAATATGCTAAATTTCAATAGTACATCATTAGTTTTTCACAGCATTTTCCTATCATTATCTTAGGTGTTCCTCAGGACAGTCCTGTATGAGGCACAGCACAGTTATTTTACAGATGAGGAAATGAAGGCTTAGAGTGATTGTGACTCCTTGGGTCAAGCCACAAGTAAGGGCCCAAGCTAGGTTTTGAATGCACATCATCTGACCCCTGGTCCAGTATATGTCTGTGATGACTGCTCTGTAGGATTGATGTTGGTTGTATCTTCTAACTCCCATTTTGGCAAACACTATTTTGGCTGATTAATCCAAGTCACTTCCTTTTTTTTCCTGCTGTTCTTCCCTGTCAAGGGAGCTCTTAACAAATCTTACTTAGTACACTCTGGGCCTCCTTGATCGATTTTGGTCTGGTGTGGGGTGGGATGGTGGTCTTCAAGTCATTTTTACAGATTAGGCTTCCATGTGGTCAACACACCACTGGCAGTCTCTTCATTGGAAGAAAGAATTATTCTAACAATGCAGGAACCCATCTTAGAAATTTGAATCAGATCTCTCACATAGATTAGTAGGTATAATCCAAGCCTTTCTTTCTCCCTTGAATTTTTGTTTTATTTTGTTTAGGGTGTTGGACCTCAGGAATATACTTTAATCAAGTTGAAAGTACTTGAGCCATACCCATCCAAATTAAGGTAGGTTTGCTACCTACCTTAATAGGTAGGAGAATTGTTGCTTCATCTTTTTGAAATATCAGATAGTTGTGATGGAATCCATAATGTTTTATGCATAAATGTATATTTTTTCTTCTTAGTGGCTTGAAAGGGAAAAATATCTTCTTGGTAGCTGCTACTCTCAGACCTGAGACCATGTTTGGACAGACAAACTGTTGGGTTTGCCCTCATATGAAGTACATTGGATTTGAGACAGTGAATGGAGATATATTCATCTGCACCCAAAGAGCCGCAAGGAATATGTCATACCAGGGCTTTACCAAGGGCAGTGGAGTGGTGCCTGTTGTTAAAGAGTTAATGGGAGAGGTAAGTTGGGTAGCAGACTTTATTTTAGTGCATGAATTGAGAGGAAAAAATGAAGCTTGAGAAACCATTTTAAAAAACCTTTTAATTGAGGTATACGTTACAGTCAAATGTGTTAAGTCATAAATATGTATATTTTTGGTGTGTTTTCAAATGTGTATACAGTCATGTAAGCACCACCCAAATCAAGATATAGAACAGTTCCAGCACTGCAGAAGGTGCTGTCATGTCCATTTCACGTCACTGCTCAGCCTGCTCCTGCAGAGGTAACCACTGCCATGACTTCAGTCACCAAAGATTAGTTTCTCTTCTTGAACTTTACACAGTGGAATTGTATAGTCTGTACTTTTTTGTGTTCAGCGTCTTTGGCTAAAAGAAGCTAAACACAAAAAAGTACAGACTATACTTTTTCCATGTTGTGTGTAGGAGTAGTTTGTTCTTTTTTTTTTTATTGCTGTGGCATATTCATTGTGTGACCATATCAGTAAAATAGTATTTTTGAATCTTACATTGCAGCTCAGTAACTATCTGGTTGAAAAATACAGACAGTCCTCCCCGAGAGATTTAATAGCTGTGGTAGACATTATATTACTTTTTTAATATGATTACCTGCATTCCTGGAGTGGAATTGCAGCCGCTTTTTTTCTGAAAAGGAAGTCATGGTTGATCTTAACTAAATCTAGGTGGTTACATAGCTCTTATCCTTAGAGTTTATTTACTTATCAGTATTTCTGAGTGTGTTTTATTCCCTTTGGTAAATGCTGATCGTTGGTATCTTAATAAATAATCTTTTAAAAGAAAAGGATGAGTAGAATACCATCTCAATTCTCCTTTTGAATTGGAGAGTTTATTTCTTACTTATTTTGTAAACTTATTTTTTGACTAGATTACTATATATTTATAAGACTCAAAATTCAAGACGAAAAGAGGGAATTCCCTGGCAGTCCAGTGGTTAGCACTCCATGATTTCACTGCCGAGGGCACAGGTTCAATCCCTGGTTGGGGAACTAAGATCCCGCAAGCTATGCAGAGCAGCCAAAAATAAAAAAAAAAAGACAAAAAGTTACACAAAATAGTTCCAGTCACTCAATTCTCCCTTCCATAGGCAGTCAGTAAAATCATTGTCTTGTGTATCCTTCCAGAAGTATTTCATGTGTATACAAGCAAATACATATATACATATTCTTTTGCCCTCTTTTTTACACACAAATGGCAATGTATTTTATCACATTATCTGTGTTTTACTTTCTCTTTTACTTAACTATAACTTGGTAATCATTTTATCAGTAGGTAAACATCTTCCTTGTTCTCTCTTTTCTTTTGGGTTGTGCCATGCAGCTTAAGGGATCTTAGTTCCCTGACTAGGAATTGAACCTGAGCCCTTGGCATGAAAGCACAGAGTCCTAACCACTGGACCTCCAAGGAATTCCCTTTGTTCTTATTTTTTACTGTTATACAGCATTCTGTTGTTTGGCCGTGCCACAAATTGTTTAATGATTCTCTATAATGGGTAGTTGAATTGTTTCTTCTGTTATAAGCAGTGCTGTTACATCTTATTAGTTCCTGATGTTAGAGTTCTGTCTGAGAAGTTTTTAGGAACAGTATTAATGACACCATTTTTTTCCTGTTCTTAAATGCAACTTTTTTCCATGTTAATTTGAATAGATTCTGGAATGAGGAAAATGGGTGGTATAAATTTAAAAATAGCTTTCAACCTTTAAGGCGATTATGATATTTAGCCTTTATCCTATATGACTGTAAATTCCATAAGCAGCTTATGTATATGAATAAAGTGGAAGGGGGGGGACTATATGGAATTGAAAAGTGCATTCCTTAGGTAAACAAGCAGCAGCAAGCTGTTTGTGTTTTTTTTTTTTTTTTTTTTTTGGCTGTGCTGAGAGGCATGTGGGATCTTAGTTCTCTGACCAGGGATTGAACCTGAGCTCCCTGCATTGGAAGCGTGGAGTCTTAACCACTGGACTGTCGGGGAAGCCCCGCAAGCTGTTTGTTGATATATGAGAATATGGGTCCAATATTATCCGATCTTCTGATTTTTTCTTTTAAGATACATCTTTTTAATTCAGTTTGTCTTCCTAATTATCATTTAAAATAGTGATACAGTATTCTATCTTGTTGATGTTTCATATTTTATTAAGTGATTTTTTTATCAGTTAAAGTTTTAGTTGTTTCCAGGTTTTGCTAATGTAGTTAACACAGCATTGGGGAGATTCTCAAAGAAAAAATAATCTTTTTCCTGTGACGTAAATTCCTAGGATTGGATTGCTGGGTCCAAGTTGGATTCCTATATTGTTTTCCTCAAGCAATGTATAAGTGTACTAATTTCCTCACAACCTTGCAAGATTTGGGTATTATAATTATTTTCAATTATTTTTAGTCTAGTAGGTATAAAAGAATGAGTGTTGTTGATTATTAGCTTCTCAGGGCTTAAAATGTTAACATTGTTTTAAATTTTAATGATCAGAATAAGTTACTTCTGCTTTATGCTGATCTTTTTCTTACATAGGATATTCTTGGTGCATCACTTTCTGCGCCTTTAACATCCTACAAGGTGATCTATGTTCTCCCAATGCTCACCATCAAGGAGGATAAAGGTAAAGAGTTTATTTCTTTCTAGAAATTCTTTGCAAAACACATTCTGGTTATATTAGTTAATTCTACAGTTTCTTTTATAAGGTACTGGTGTGGTCACAAGTGTTCCTTCTGACTCCCCCGATGATTTTGCTGCCTTCAGAGACTTGAAGAAAAAGCCAGTGAGTGTCTGTGTTTCATGTTCCTATTTCCTCTTCATCATCTCATTGGTTAGGGACCACTGAACTAATTATTGGATTAGGCTAAAAAGCTATGCATGTATCTTTGAAATGCTACCTTTAACCTGTTTCTTGATATTTACATGTTTTTCTATGATTTGAATTTTAAATATCGATGTAAAATTTATAGAATCTTTTTTTTTTTTTTTTTTTTGGCTGTGCTGTGTGGCATGTGGGATCTCAGTTCCCTGACAAGGATCGAACCCACGCCCCGCTGCAGTATAAGCGTGGAGTCATAACCACTGGACCGCCAGGGAAGTCCTCATAGAATCTTTAAGACTTATTTTTTTAGAGCAGTTTTAGGTTCATAGTAAAAATCGAGAGGAAGGTACAGAGATTTCCCATATACCCCCTGCTTCAACACCTGCATAGCCTACCCCATTATTAGTATCACTCACCAGAGTGGTACATTTTTTTTTTTTACTGAAGATGAACCTACATTGACACATCACAATCACCCAAAGTCTGTAGTTTACCTTAGGGTTCACTCTTGGTGTTGTACATTCTGTGGATTTGGACGAATGTATAATGACATGTGTCCATCATTATAATACACAGCATTTTCACTGCCTTAAAAATCCTCTGTGCTCTTTTTGTTCGTCTCTCCTCCCTCCCACCCCTGGCAACCACTGATCCCTCCCTTCCTTCCTCCCTCCCTCCCTCCCTCCCTCCTTCCCTCCTTCCTTCCTTCGCTCCTGCCCTCCTTCCTTCCTTCCCTCCCTCCCTCCCTCCGGGTCTTAGTTAGGACACGTGTGATCTTCATCGCAGCATGTGGGATCTAGTTCCCTGACCAGGGATCAAACCCTGGCCCCCTTCATTGGGAGTGTGGAGTCTTAACCACTGGACCACCAGGGAAGTCCCCACTGATCTTTTTTTTTTTTTTTTGCGATACATGGGCCTCTCACTGTTGTGGCCTCTTCCGTCGCGGAGCACAGGCTCCGGACGCACAGGCTCAGCGGCCATGGCTCACGGGCCCAGCTGCTCCACGGCATGTGGGATCCTCCCGGACCGGGGCACGAACCCGTGTCCCCTGCATCGGCAGGCGGACTCTCAACCACTGTGCCACCAGGAAAGCCCCCCACTGATCTTTTTAATTGTCACCGTAGTTTTACCTTTCCAGAAAGTCATGTAGTTGGAATCATATAGTATGTAGCCTTCTTAGAATTTCTTTCAATTAGCAATATGTATTTAAGGTTTCTCATGTCTTTTCATAGCTGATAGCATATTTCTTTTTAGCACTAATAATATTCTGTTGTCTGGATGTACATTTATTCATTCACCTGATGAAGAACATCTTGGTTGCTAACAAGTGTTGGCAGTTATGAGTAAAGCTGCTGTAAACATCCGTGTGCAGGATATTGTATAGACAACTCTTTTGTGTAAATACCACGGAGTGCGATTGCTGGATCATATGGTAAAAGTATGTGTAATTTTGTAAGAAACCACCAAACTGTCTTGCAAAGTGGCTGTACCATTTTGCATTCTTACCAGCAATGTATGAGAGTTCCTGTTGCTCCACATCCTTGTCAGCATTTGGTATTGTCAGTTTTCCAGATTTTGGCCATTGTAATTGGTGTGTAGTCATATCTCATTGTTTTATTTTGCATTTTCTTGATGGCAGATGTTGTGGAGTGTTTTTTCATATGCTTGTTTGCCATCTGTGTATCTTCTTTGGTGAGATTTGTCTGTTAAGGTCTTTGGCTTATTATTTTTTTCAAATGAGTTGTTTTAATTACAGGTGGTACAGAATTCAGGATAGAACAAAGACTTAAGAACACATTTTGGCAGGCTTCTGGGCTGGGTTTATGCAGATCTCATAGCTAAGGTAGAAATGGCTGAGAAGAACTAAAGACAAGATGAGCCACTGTATGATTTTTTTTTTTTAACAAAAGTTTATTCTTAAATGTACAATAGGTTCCAAGACAACACTTCATTCTAGCTATAAGTGGCAACAGATACTATGGCAGGGAATCCAGATGTTTAAACAGGAATGGAATTAGGATCATCATTGCCTCAAACACAAGGAACAGCTTACTTTTTGCCAGATTTTTTAATAACACCTGTGGCTAGGGGGGCCTTTCCCTGCGGCCTTCGCTTTTAGCTCCTTGAGTTTCTTCTGCTTCTCCTGTTTCTGCTTGAGTGCCTTATCTTCCTCGTCTGTCTCCTTGGCTTGCTTCTTGGCGTGCTTCAGGGGCTTCTCCTCGCCACCTTCACGGCCCAACATGGTGCCTGCCACCCCTTCCCCAGAGCCTGCTCCCGGAAGCCTTATTTTTTAAATCAGGTTGTTTGTTTTCTTATTGTTGAGTTTTAAGAGTTCTTTGTATATTTAAGAGTCCTTTATCAGATGTGTTTTTTGAAAATATTTTTTCTCAGTGTGTGGTTTGTCTTTCAGTTCTCTTGATGTTGTCTTTTGCAGAGAAGAAATTTTTAATTTTAACGAAGTCCAGCTTATCAGTGATTTCTTTCATAGATTATGTCTTTGGTGTTGTATCTAAAAAGGCATCACCATATGCATGGACATTTAGGTTTTTTCCTGTGTTATCTTCTAGGAGTTTTATAGTTTTGTGTTTTACATCTAGGTCCATGATCTGTTTTGAGTTAATTTTTGTGTTGAGTGTCAGGTCTGTGTCTAAATTCATTTTTTTGCTTGTGGATGTCCAGTTGTTCCAGTAACATTTGTTGAAGAGACTGTCTTTGCTCCATTGTATTGCCTTTACTCCCTCATCAAAGATCAGTTGACTGTATTTATGAGGGTCTCTTTCTGGGCTCTCTGTTATGTTCCATTGATCTATCTGTCTATTCTTTTGCCAGCACCACACTATCTTGGTTATTATAACTTTATTATAAGTAAGTCTTGAAGTCAGACAGTGTCAGTCTTCTAACTTTATTCTTTTATATTGAGTTGGCTATCCTGGGGCTTATTCCTCTCCATGTAAACTTTGGAATCAGTTTGTTGATATCCATAAAGTAACTGGCTAGAATTTTGATTGAGAGTGTATTGAATCTGTTGGTTAAGTTGAAAAGAACTGACATCTTGACAACATTATGTCTTCTAATCCTTGAACATGGAATATCTCTCCATTTATTCAGTTCTTCTTTGATGCTGTTCATCAGAGTTTTGTAGTTTTCCTCATATCTTACATTTACATTGTTAGTTTTGTACCTAAGTGCAATTGAACAACACAGGTTTGAAATGTGCAGGTCCATTTATAAGTCTTTTTTCAATAAATATGTACTACAGTACCAGGTGATCTGTGGTTGATTGAATTTGCAGATGTGGAACCACGGATACAGTAGTCTGACTGTAAAGATATATGCAGATTTTTGACTGCTTGGGATAGTTGGCACCACTAACCCCCATGTTGTTGAAGGGGCAACTGTATTTAATTTTGGGGGTTACTAAAGTAAATGGTATTGTGTTTTTAATTTCAAGTTCCACTTGTTAATTGTTGGTGTGTAGGAACACCATTGAATTTTGTGTTTTAGCCGTGTATCCTGCAACCTTTCTATAATTGCCTATTAGTTCTAGGACTTTTTTTTTGTTGATTCTTTTGGATTTTCTGCATACATGATCATGCTATCTGCAAACAATGACAGTTTTGTCTTCCTTCGCAGTCTGTATACCGTTTCTTTTCTTGCCTTATTTAATTACCAAGAGCATTCAGTATGATGTTGAAAAGGAGTAGTGAGAGGGGATATGTATTGTGTCTGATCTTAGTGGGAAAGCTTTGAATTTTTTGAAAATCATCAAGTATGATTTTAGCTGTAGGTTGGTTTTTTGTTTGTTTATTGGTTTTTTTCTTTGGCCACGCTGCGTGGCTTGTGGGATCTTAGTTCCCCGACCAGGGATTGAACCCTGACCCCCGGCATTGAAAGTGCAGAGTCCTAACCACTGGACCGCCAGGGAATTCCCTAGCTGTAGGTTTTTTATACATAGTCTTTACCAAGTTGAGAAAATCTGCTTCTATTCTAGTTTACTGAGAGTTTTTATCTTGAATAGGTATTGGATTTGGCCAAATACTTTTTTTCATCTGTTGATACGATTGTGTGATTATTCTTTTTTAACCTGTTGATGTGATGGATTTCATAAAACTTTTGAAAAAAAGGTTTGAGAAAAATTTTCTGATATTCATATTTTCATTGCAACCTGGAATATGAACCTCATTTTAAGTGGTGTGTGTAAGTGGTGTGTGTGTGTGTGTGTGTGTGTGTGTGTGTGAATTTTTGCTTTTGGCTGTACGGTTTCATCATTTAAGTCATTCACTCTAACTTAAACTGTTTAGTTTTTTAAAATCATACGTCCTTTCTTGAGATATTTTGTAAAATTAAAAAATTGCTCTCTGTGGAGGGAAGAACAAAAATAGTTTAAAAAGTTTGGAGGGTGCTTCTCTTAATGATTATACAGTAAGTCCCCTACATATGAACCTTCAAGTTGTGAACTTTGAAAGCTGCGAATATGCATCTGGTTCCAGCAAGGAACCAGAACCTGTGCCATCCATCAGTGTTAGGCATGAGTGAAATTGCAGCTTGCCCTCCATGTCCTGTTGCTGATGATCCTTCAGCTCTACCATCTCCCACCTCCTGTCCCTCCTCCAGTCAGTAACTCTTCTTGCCTCTTTACTTGATGCCAGCCCCTGTATGCCAGCTGTTGTATAGTACTATTGTAATATACTTTTCAAGGTACTGTACTGTAAGATTAAAAATGTTTATTTTTTGTGTTTGTTCATCTTGTATGTATTATTTGTGTGAAAAGTATTATAAACCTGTTACAGTACAGTACTATATAGCTGATTGCGTTAGTTGGGTACCTAGGGTAACTTTGTTGGACTTACAAACAAATTGGACTTATGAACAAACTGGACTTATGAATGTGCTCTGGGAACAGAACTCGTTCGTATGTAGGCGACTTACTGCACCAGTGAAGTATTGATCATTAATATTAACTTCCAATTTTTTTGTAGGCTTTACGAGCAAAATATGGAATTAGAGATGACATGGTCTTGCCATTTGAGCCTGTGAGTACATAGATGAGTCAGAATATTAATATCCATATCTTTATTAGAGAACAAAGAGCAGCTAGCACTTTACTTGTCACAGAATTAAATAATTGGTAGAGTATGAAATAAGAGGGAGTTTAAGAGTTTATTTGCTTTAACGTGATACCTGCTGTGGTGGATAAGAGCAAAAGAAAAACCAGCAATAGGCATTTTCTTAGCACCTGGCACCTGTAATTCTGAAACAAACAAATAGCCTTTTAGCATTACCAATTTTATAGTAGCTTATTTTCTAGTGTGGCCAGTTTCCAGGCTTCTAAAGACAAAATTTTGCCATATTACTCATGAATGTTTATGTTTTCATATTAGTATCTGCAGAAGAAAAAAAAATTACTAGTGAATAATTTTCATGAAGAATTCAGAAGACTTAATATAAACCAGAAATAAGACCATCCATAAATTTAGTTGTTAGCCTTTTGCTAGTTTCAACATTATTTAGTTAATTATGTGCCAGTGGGTTTGAGAGCTGGGGAAGGTGTGTATGTAGTGAGGGAGGGACAGTGCGGGGGTTGGTGCAGGGAATTCGGGGGGTTCCTATGGAGAGTAGGAAGACAAATTCACATCTGGATGTTAGTCCCTAATGTGTGACACTGCCTTAATTATATATAAGATCTGAAGTGACAGTAGAGGCAAAAGGACTATGCCTTTAGGGCTGTTCTTGTGTTTATTCAATGTGAATAAGTTCTGACATTGCTCTTTTTTTGCAGGTTCCAGTCATTGAAATTCCAGGTTTTGGACAGCTTTCTGCTGTAACCATGTGTGATGAGTTGAAAGTTCAGAGCCAGAATGACCGAGAAAAACTTGCAGAAGCAAAGGAGAAATTATACCTAAGAGGCTTTTATGATGGTGTAAGTAATAATTTTGTTATTTTTATTTGATTTACTTACTCCATGCTCTGTGATTTTCTTCTTAGTGGTTTAGAAAAAAACTATAGAAAAATTCAGTATTGTTTCAGCTCTGTCCTGTTTTGAGAAGGGATTACTATAAGATTGTGTTCTATTTCCAAATTTATTTTTTTAATCTATTTTGGTCCAATAGTATTTACGGAAATTCCATTTTTGTGCCCTCTAATCTCTGAGTGAATTTCTTGAGAAGATACTTAAAGTTTGTTCATATTATTTTACCATAAATTCCAGAAGTTTATTGCATGGACCATACCTGGTCCCTTTGCTTTCTTAATTGTGGAGTTCATATTTTAAATAAGCAGTTTCATTCAGTTCATTAATTTACTTGTTAACGCCTATTCCATGCCATGTTAGCACAACAGACAAGTTGTGAACCTCTCTTTTCTCAATTGTGCATATGTTAACATGGCTTACATTTCCATGGAAAGAAGATGAGGCTAGAGAAAGTAAAAACCCAATCAAGTTGCTAGTGACTTGAGGTTGAAATGAAGATTTTTAAGGCTGTAAGTGAGAATGTTCTTTATTTTTACCTTTACTTTCATTTCTCTGGGTAACCAAGAATTGGTTATATGTCCTTTCTAAAAGTAACTTACACGTTTTGGATGACAGTAAAAGCCAACACTTATAGAGCATTTATATATTAACTTACTTATATCTCAAAATAACCTTGAGAAGTAGGCACTTATTCCCAATTTATAGATGAGGAAATTGAGGCACTAAGAGATTAAGTAATTTACCTAAGATCAGCCAGATAGCCAGGCAGAGGCAGAACTGGGACTCAGACTAGGCATCTTGGCTCTAAGATTTGTGCTTTTAACCCCTGTGCCATAATGATCAATAACTATAATTTCATAATGATGAATTAAGTAGATATGAAGCATCTTGGTACGTTAGAGAATTGGGCAGAAAAAAGAACACGTGTCTTTTCCACTTAAGATAGAAACTATTAAGAATGCCCTGGTGGTCCAGTGCTTAGAACTCTGCACTCTCATTGCTGAGGGCCCAATTTCAATCCCTGGTCAGGGAACTAAAATCCCAATCCCATATGCCGTGCAGTGTGGCAAAAAAAAAACTATTTGAGAGAGTCAACAGGAATCAGATAGATGAAGGTCAGAGTATCAGCTGGAAGGGGATTGTGGCTTTGCTCTGTGACAGCAATGGGCAAGTCATTACTTTGCCCTAGAATTAAATCTCCTCACTACGTAAAAGGCAGAGTTGAAAAACAGTAGGCCTTCCTCTAAGAGCCAAGTTTATCACATGGGCAAGCAAAGGAGAATGCTTGCTGGCAACAGGCAGAGTTGGAAAGAGAAGCCTAAGTGGGGCCGAGCTGCATTTGCTCAGTTCCTTTTCCTAAAGCCTTCAGGAATGATGTGAGTTAGGGTAGAGGAATTCTCTTCACGTGGAACCCTAAGAAGTGGGAAGGAAGTGAGCATTTCTTTCTAATCGTGTTCATAATACTTATCCTAGTTATACTGAAAGAAAAACAAGTGTGTTGTAAATATTAGCTGTCCAAGCTGTGCCAAAATAAAAATTTATGGTTTTAAATGTGATAAATTTCACACTAAAAATATTTTGGTTGTGTGTGCAAGTAAATTTAGTTAGGGAAAGTTCAAGGGGGGGGCACCCAAAGCAAATTTTAATTATATGTGCTTTTTCCCTACTTCTCATCCTTTTAGGTAATGTTGGTGGATGGATTTAAGGGACAGAAGGTCCAAGATGTAAAGAAGACTATTAAAAACAAGATGATTGACACTGTATGTAATAGGCTATCCTCTGAAGTCTGTTTTAGGAGAAGAGCTTTCAGTTAATAGACTTTACAGTGTTATTTAGCAGTGAGTTCTGTAGTAGAACCTGGAGCTATATTAAAGATATAATTTTATTTATATATAAAATTGGAGACCTATTTAGCAATTCATTTAACTTGAACATCCCACCTGTAATGTTGATGAAGATAGTGTTCTAAAGTTGGCATGTACAAATCACACACAGAGAATTTAGTGATGCTTCCTGGCAGTAACCATTCGAGGTACTGGTAGTTGACAGTTCTTTATGTAGTACTTTACTTTTTACTTTAATCCTTTTTCCCCTCTTCATTTTTGTTGTAACTCTTTTCTGTTGAGTTACTTAACTTTTGAAATTGAATTTTTATTTTTGACAGTTATGTATACACATAATACAGAGAGACAGTGATCTGTCTTATTAAAATTAAAAAAAGCAGCAATTTCCTCTCCATCCTTCTACATTCTCTTAAATTTCTCTTCCTTGGACAGGCTTACTTTCATCTCTTTTAGCTATTTCTTTTAGTATTGACCTCTGCCACTCTTATAGATCTCTAATCTAAATACTTGTAGTGTAATTTAAAATTTTTTCAATTTTAGCCATCAGCCATAGACTTCCTACTGTGGAAGATCAAGATTTAACTCTTCGGGGCTTCCCTGGTGGCGCAGTGGTTGAGAGTCCGCCTGCCAATGCAGGGGACATGGGTTCGTGCCCCAGTCTGGGAAGATCCCACATGCCGCAGAGCGGCTGGGCCTGTGAGCCATGGCCGCTGAGCCTGCGCGTCCGGAGCCTGTGCTCCGCAACGGGAGAGGCCACAGCAGTGAGAGGCCCGCGTACAGCAAAAAAAAAAAAAAAAAAAAAAAGATTTAACTATTCGCCAACCTGTGGCTTCCTCTCTAACCTCGCATTTGTATACACTTCACCACCCCCCATCTTCCTAGTATAAGTATGTTATAATTTATGTTAGAGCAGTAGTCAGTGTGTACATTTTTGAGACATGGCTGATCCATAATGTAGTATGCAATGAGAACTTCTCTTCCCTAGCTTTTGGTTTTCCCTGGAGTTAATAACTGCCCTTTTTCCCCCCCCACTTTTCTTACTTTTAAATACAGTTATCAATACTTCATCCCCAAACTCTGTCCCAACTGTTTATTTCTCCTCTCAGTACCTTCAAACACATGAGTATGCTGTTGTTTACATCTTAGAGAAAGTTCTCCCAGAGCCTTCTGGCCTGTTGTAATTATCCACACCGTTTGCTTACTGTAGGTGTGCACAGATGTCATCTGGGATATTCCTCCACCATTACTTAGGATTTCCTTTGCTTCTCTTGAGTTGGATCTGCTGTTTCCTTGTTCCCATGGCTTCTTCTTTCTTATTTACTTTCTTGTTTTGGTGATGCTCTGCCTCTAGTAGTGTTCCTGAAAAACGGTGCCTGGAAGGTAAATTTTTGTGACCTTCCATGTCTGAAGTATCTTTATTCTGTCCTCATACTTGAATGCCTGGGTGTAGGATTCTGGGTTGGAAATAATTTTCCCTTAAAAATTTGAAGGCCATTACCCATGGTGTTCTGGTTCAGTGATGCTGTTGAGAAGTCCAAAACCATTCTGGTAATAATGGATCTTTTATAAGTGACCTGTGTCTCCACTGTTCCCTGCACTGCCCCCCATCATGCTAAAGCTTATAGAATCTTCTCTTTTCTTCCAGTATTTTGAAATTTCATGATGATTTATTTTGGTGTAGGTCAGTTTTCATTCATTCTTCTGGCTGTATGCTGGGCTCCTTCAATTTGGAAACTTATGTTCTCCAATTTTGGGAAAATTTCTTGACTTTTTTGTTTAATTATCCCTTTCCATTCTTTATTTTTGCTTTCTGAATTCTTATTATTCAGATATTGGATCTCTTAGACTCTGAAAGTTCTTTTGCTCTTCTATCTGGGGGAGTCCCTCACCTTTTTCTTCCTGTGAGTTTTTGTTTGTTTGTTTACTGTATTTTTTTTTTTTTTTGCGGTACGTGGGCCTCTCACTGTTGTGGCCTCTCCCATTGCAGAGCACAGGCTCCGGACACGCAGGTCCAGCGTCCACGGCTCATGGGCCCAGCCGCTCCGCAGCACGCGGGATCTTCCTGGACCGGGGCGCGAACCCGTGTCCCCCACATCGGCAGGCGGACTCTCAACCACTGCGCCACCAGGGAAGCCCCCTGCTGTGTTTTTTATATCTGCTACTTGTGTGCTTGTGCATGTGTGTAGAAATAAACGTTTCTAAGAATTCATTAAAATTTTTTTCTTTGTGTGGAAAATTTCAAATTTATGAAAAAGTGGAGTAGTATAATGAATTCTTGTGTACCTCTTACCCAGCTTCAGCATTTACCAACTCAGAGCCAGTTTAAGAGCTTATTCTTGTTATCTGATCCTTTTTTTATAGGATGCTGCTATTCTTGTTTCAGGGGTATGAAATTTTAATCTCTTATTAATCTGGGGAAGACTATTGATATTTAAGAGTGAGTACAAAAAGATGATTGGAACCTTTTTGGATATGGGTAGGGCTTGTCTCTGGGCTTCACTGGGAGAGATCTGGAAGGTCCATTTGGACCTTAGGGAGACCCTGATGTTAGCCTTGATGTTAATTAGGGCTTCTTGGTTTGTTAGATTCCCCTCAGAAGATTCTTCAGTTTCCGGTTTAAAGAGTCTAAGCTAACTGAGTATTCTAGGAGCTAAATGGTGGAAGATTACTAGGTTGGGTTCCAACACCCAATGTGCTGACTTTCACTTAATCCCTCTTTTTCACTATGATACCCATACCCTCAGCTTCGTCCTCTGGTTGACTCTCTTTTTTCCTCTCCAGAGAGTAAACGTTCACTGTTCTGCTGGCATAGGAAGGGGCATTTGCCTGTCTGCATGGTGTGGGATTAGGGTATCTGGGGTTCTAACTTCTTGAAAAGACTTCAGTTAGTCCCCCTGTTTCCAGTCTCATGTTACCTCCTCTTCTAGAACTATCTTGTGCCACAAATCCTGAGTCTTTTTGGAGGTTCTGTAATGCAAACTGAACTGCTTTTCAGCCTTCTCTTCTGTGGGCTTAGGATTCAGCTAGCTTCCTTTGATCTGCTAATACAATTGTCACTCATTCTGCTTGTTAGTTTCCAAAATTTGGTTGATATTATTTCTTCTCCCATTCTTGTTGTCTTTGTAGCTTCATACCATTAAGACCAATAAAGCCTCTTTGTTGTTATTTTGTTAGAATTTTGAGAGGGAGCAGAGTTAATTAAGTGTCTGTTTTTAATTTACCATCTTTAAACCAAAGTCCTACCTATGTAAGTTCAGTGTGAAGAACTTGCATTAAGAACAGAGCAATGAATCATTTTTCGAATAATAATGCTGAATTTTATTTTTAAAAATTATCCTAGCCTAATAAGTTTGGGATTATAATACATTAAAAGATATTTGTATTTTTTTCTAAAAGTAAAATTTACGGTCAGTTTTCTAGTGGGAATTTTTCATGATGCTATAAATCTTTAGTAAAAGTATTTTCTGTGTTTAATTTTTGTGCATCTCTTTTTTTTTTTTAAAGACAGTGGTTCTGTGCATCTATTTTCTTTATCTTTTTATTATAACAAGAATAAAAGGCTGCCATAGGCAGCCTAACCTTCAAACCGTAGCATTAGAAACTGTTAAACATCTTTCACTCTGAAAAGGAATAAGCTGTACCTAGAGAAGGTGATCCATTTGATGAAGGTGCACGCCTTTTCAGAAGCAAGTGTTATACAGAAAGAAAAGCAGATAACTTCTGCCCTGGGAAGAGGGAAGACATAATGAAAACCTGGGGTTTTGGTTATGGGTGGTAGAGCAATTTTTTTTCTAAAAAGTTACTTTTCTTTTCCTTGAGGAATAGAGATTGCCTTGACATAATATCTGATATATTTTTATTTACTTTTGTTTAGGGAGATGCATATATTTACATGGAACCAGAGAAACAAGTTATGTCCAGGTCTTCAGATGAATGTGTCGTGGCCCTGTGTGACCAGTGGTTAGTTTTTCTTATAGCAAGAAGAAATTTCCTCCTGTCACTTTGCTTATCCTTGACTTTTTTATTTAATCAATTCGTCCACTCCCAGGTACTTGGATTATGGAGAAGAGAACTGGAAAAAACAGACATCCCAGTGTTTGAAGAACCTAGAAACGTAAGATGGGAGAAGGTGATAGGGAAGGAGATGAGAAACAGGGAAGACAATGAAGCTGAAGAGAGATACTTTATCTTCTACTCTCTCCAGGTTCTGTGAGGAGACCAGGAGGAATTTTGAAGCTACCTTAGATTGGCTGCAAGAGCATGCTTGCTCAAGAACTTACGGCTTAGGTAAGCAAACTTCAAATTTTTCTGTTGGAATGACTTTGCCAGTTACACAGCAAATTAAAACTTCACCTTTTTTATTCTCTTCCAGTGTGTTTCTGAATTGGAAGTGAGAGGTTTTGGTTAGAGGGTGAAGGAAACTAGGATGTGGTCCCCTACCATCTACCTGGTGGTAGAAGTATCTAATGCCCATATAGCTTTTTTTTTGCGGTACGCGGGCCTCTCACTGTTGTGGCCTCTCCCGTTGCAGAGCACAGGCTCCGGACGCGCAGGCTCAGCGGCCATGGCTCATGGGCCCAGCCGCTCCACGGCATGTGGGATCTTTCCGGACCGGGGCACGAACCCTTGTCCCCTGCATCGGCAGGCGGACTCTCAACCACTGCGCCACCAGGGAAGCCCCATATAGGTTTTATGATGCAGTTTTTTTTAATAGAAAGTTTCTAGTCCTTCAACCATTTTGTTTTTTTTATTTACTGGTTTATTTATATTAATTATTCAAGTAAGTTTAAGAACCTAAATAAGTAGCTTTGTCAGTGCCGTAGACCTGCTCTTAAAAATGTGAATTTTGTAGATGAAGTGTCTCTTAGGTTCCTCATGCATTAATTATGTTCTTTTTATCTCGCAGGTACTCGTCTGCCATGGGATGAGCAGTGGCTGATTGAATCACTCTCTGACTCCACTATTTACATGGCGTTTTACACAGTTGCACATCTGTTGCAGGGAGGTAACTTGCGTGGACAGACAGAGTCTCCACTGGGCATCAGGTTGGTAAATGGATAAGGGGAAGGGATGTAATTTGTTAGCATGAGGTGATCTTTTGATTTATGTATTGAAAATTCTTTCCTTTTTAAAAAAAATTTATTTTTATTTATTTTTGGCTGTGTTGGGTCTTTGTTGCTGCACTTGGGCTTTCTCTAGTTGTGGTGAGCGGGAGCTGCTGTTCATTGCAGTTCGCAGGCTTCTCATTGCGGTGGCTTCTCTTGTTGCGGAGCATGGGCTCTAGGCGCACGGGCTTCAGTAGTTGTGGCTCACGGGCTCTAGAGCACAGGTTCAGTAGTTGTGGCTCACGAGCTCAGTTGTTCTGCGGCATGTGGGATCTTCCTGGACCAGGGCTCAAACCCGTGTCCCCTGCTTTGACAGGCGGACTCTTAACCACTGCGCCACCAGGGAAGCCAGAAAATTCTTTCTAATAATTAGTTTTTATAAGAATTCATTTAGTGGAATTTTGTCATGATGTTTTTGCTTTATTTGCATTGAACTGAGAAAGAAAGTAATAAATAGCCACTTCTCCATTATCCATTCTTCATTCTTATGGGAGTCTTTTGTTCTCATTTGTTACTGTAAAACATTAAGAAAGTGTTTTCTACTTCATGGTTGGATTAGAATGCTGATTCTTTCAAAGAAATTATATATATATATATTGTTGTTGTTGTTTGTTTGTTTCTTTTATTTTAATACAGACCACAGCAGATGACCAAGGAAGTTTGGGATTATGTTTTCTTCAAGGAGGCTCCATTTCCTGAAACTCAGATCCCAAAGGAAAAATTAGATCAGTTAAGGAAGGAATTTGAGTTCTGGTATCCTGTGGATCTTCGAGCCTCTGGCAAGGATCTTATTCCAAATCATCTTTCATATTTCCTTTATAATCATGTGGCTATGTGGCCAGAAGAAAGGTGAGTGCTAAAAAAGATGCAGACTAAATTTATTGATTATTGACAAGGGTGCCTTGTGGCTTCAAATATATAGATGTTATTGTGGGGGGTATAGTTAGATTTAACAGTTACGTTCTTTTTCTTATATTAAATGTACTAAAGGAGAAAGCACACCTTCTATCTGTTATATCCAGAAATCTTCATACCTACCTAGGGCCACCAAAGCATGTCACATTTCAGGTACTCTGTCAGTAATTCCCTTGACCTGTTACATGACTCATTTGACCTGTTAGATGCTGGAATAAAGGTGATTTCAGACAGAGCCTAGGACATTAAAATGGGAAGGAAACATCCCTTTAGAGCTGAGAGCCCCAAGGTTCCAGCATTAAGTAGTGATGTTCTGACTAGAATCTGGGTCAAAGATGCATTTTTTAATACCGTGTGCTCAAGGGTAATCCTTCTATCATCTTCCCTCTTGATCCAGACATGTCTCTGTGCCTTTTCCTCCTGTCCTCAAGTAGCTGAAGAAACAAATCCCTTCCACTGTTCAAATTTTATTTTGTAAAACCAAAGCAATCTCATGGGACTTTTTGTATTTAGGATGAGATTGCATTTAGAATGCGATTACATTTTCTTTCTCAGGAATAAAAGGGAGATTTTGAAGAAGAGGAATAAAATAAATACGATGTGGTTCTTGTCATCCAGTTATTTTTCTCTATTGGTTAAAATGTGTTTTTGGAGATATCAGGTGTCTCAGAAGTACTTGTTAGTAATATAGTTGAATATTTATCCCCTTGCGTCAAGTTTTGGGCATGTATTAGGGTTTTAAAAATTAAAGATAAGTAGTAGCTTCAAGTGCTTTTGTCAGACACTCTTCTAATCACTTTTAGTAACTCGTGTAATTTTCACTACAACTTTTCGAGGAAGGTCTGTAATATCCTCGTTTTTACGGGCAAGGAACCTTCGTGAGGCATAGAGAGCTCAAAATGACTCACCCAGAGTTACCCAGCAATGGCAGAACCAGGATGCAGAACCCAGCAGTCTGGCTCCAGAACTCTTGCTCTTAACATTACCCCCACATGATCTCATTGTTAGAATGAATGAATGATATGTACATAGTTTGAAAATTCAAACAGCTCATAAAGGTACAAAGTTAAAAGTGAACTTTCACCCTTTTCCCTATATTAGTCTATTTCCCAAAGCTCATCACTGCTACTGCTTTCTTGTGATTTCTTCTGGAAAATGTATGCATGCATATACCAGCAGCAGATATCTATAGTTGTTTATTTTTTAATTTATACAAAGATGCCACATTATAGACAGTATTCTGTCTCTTGTTTTTTCCTTGTAATAGTATATTTCTAAGATCTTTTTATTTTTATATATATAGCTGTGCCTGTATTTTAAAAATAGTTACGTAGTATTTCATTGTATTCCTGTACCATAGTTTATATCAATATAACAAGTCCTTTATTAACGGATACTTTCCTTGTTTTCATTGGTTTCCTGTTATGAACAGGACTCAATTAATATCCCTGCACATTTGCCTTAGCAATCTTTTATGAATCTTTTAGCATTTACCTCAAATTTTTAAGCGTAAACCATAATCTTTAAGTTTTATTTTCTATCTTTAAACGTTTTCCTGTCAAGTGATAAATGGCCTGTAGCTGTGAGAGCAAATGGACATCTCCTCCTCAACTCTGAGAAGGTAAGGCTCATTGCCTCTTGAAAGGTTAAAATGCTACAGAAAAGTTTTTCAGATTTAGGATGTTGTACTTTTTAAAGAAATAAAGAATGTGAAAATCAGAGAGTTAAATATCTTCCATTTAAAATGTTTAGGGCTACCAGCGTAAATGAGAAGTTTATTTTAAAATTGAGTGAGTGGAGTAGATAGTATTAATTGAGAGGTAGGATGGGGAAAACTTCCCTATTATAACATTTGTATTAGGGTGGCAAAGGGTGACACAAATTTTTACGGGAGGAGAGAGAGAAAGGGACAGGAAATGTAAAGATCCTAGCATTGTGACCCAGCAATATCTTTCTCATTAAGTTGAGAAAATAATTTGGTGGTTTTTGCTTTATACTGTGACTGGCCACTAAATTAGAATAATAGAATTTTGGAGTTTATAGGATTTTAAAATGTCATTTAATGCTTCTTTCCGGATGGTATCTCTCTCCCCATACTACTGCAACTTCCCTTTTTCATTACCACTACTAATATATTAAATATGATTTTTTTTATGCTATATAAGACTTCACCTAATTATTCAATATCCTCAACAGGAGTTATGCCAACCTCTTGACAAGCCCTTGTTTGCCCCATGATGCTTTTGTGTACATTAGAAAGGGGCACCCTTCCTCAACTAAACAAAAAAAATTAAGTTACAATATTATTTATTTCTCATTAATAACAATTGTAACAAGTTGGATTTGTTCCAACCAGTGAATCGTGCTACATCTGATGGAATATTAATGGTAAAAGAATATTCATTGCTATAGGTATGTCATAATGAAAATAGTTATAGATTTAAACATAGCAGATGATATAAATTGCAAAATGAGATGTTATTTTTTACCAGTGTCCTAATATTGAAAGGGAATAAAAAAGTTCATGTAAGGTAATCTGTACATTAGGCTGAAAAATAGCTATTTTATAGATTTTGTTAAATCAACAAGGACTTCGGGCCTCTCAGGCTCCGGACGTGCAGGCTCAGCGGCCATGGCTCACAGGCCCAGCCGCTCTGCGGCATGTGGGATCTTCCCGGACCAGGGCACAAACCCGTGTCCCCTGCATCGGCAGGCAGACTGCCAACCACTGCGCCACCAGGGAAGCCCCAACAAGGACTTTTGATTATCAAACTCATTTGTTCTTTGTAGGTCAAAGTGAACCATGTATGTATTTATATATATGTATGTGTATATATGTGTGTATGTATATGTGAGTATATAAATAGGAATCCTGTTATAACATGACATTTCCTTTGGTCTCCATATTGTTGTGCTATATGTACATTATACTCATTTTATTAGAACAAAATATTTTACTGCCATATAGTAGAAAATTGATAGAATGACCACCTCTCTTTGGTATCAGCAAAGTTACAAAAACATAAACATTTTTTAAATAATAAAGATTGCTAGGCTGGGCATAGTTCCTCCTTAGTTGTGCTGCCTTCAGGCAGAGCACAACTTGAGTAGCCAGTTGTGACCCTAATGACAGGAGGTTCCCTAAAACCCTAATTTTGACCTCATGAGCTTGTCCATTCATTTCTGAATGACTAATTGCTATAAAGCTCTTCTGTTTTTTTTTTTTTAATTTTTCTTTCATTTATTTATTTTGGCTGCGTTTGGTCTTCGTTGCTGTGCGCAGGCTTTCTCTAGTTGTAGCAAGTGGGGCTTTTTCTAGTTGCAGCAACTCTTGGTTGAGGCGCAAGCTTCTCATTGCGGTGGCTTCTCTTGTTGCGGAGCATGGGCTCCAGGTGCGCGGGCTCCGTAGTTGTGGCGCACGGGCTTAGTTGCTCCGCGGCATGTGGGATCTTCCTGGACCAGGGCTCGAACCTGTGTCCCCTGCATTGGCAGGTGGATTCTTAACCACTGCACCACCAGGGAAGCCCTAAAGCTCTTCTTTATGACCAGCTGAAGTATTCCAGAGTTATAGTGGAATCATCCATGTGTATAAACCAGTTCCCAAGGGACAGTATTGGTTAATGGAAAGAGCTGTGGACTGAGTATCAGACTGGAGATGCTGTCCTAGCTTTGTCACTGACTAGATTAGTGACTCAGACAAGTCACTTCAGTTTTATCCTCTGTAAAGTTAGTATAAGGTATCTTTTCCTTTCCATGCTTCTGATCCTTTTGGTTTTTATCTGATTGTGGCAAACCCATTTAATTTGATGTGGCTGATTTGGTTTATATTATTTATATATACTCTTACCAATGCCTGATCATTGACTTTCTCTTTCAGATGTCAAAATCCACAGGCAACTTCCTCACTTTGACCCAAGCTCTTGACAAATATTCAGCCGATGGTGAGTATGCTTTTTTGTTATTGCTGTTGCATAGTGTCCAGTTCTCCTCCGATTACAGAAGGCAAGTGAGCATTGTTGTTTCAGTTTCATTGCTTTTCTCTTTCGCTTTTACCAATACTTTAAAATATTCATGTTTTCTTTGTGTACAGGAACATAATTTTTAAAACATAAGAATTGCTGATCTGATTTGTTTAGGAACAGATTTAAGCTAAGATTATTAGTCTTCTTTCAAAGGAAACTCACTGTAAGTGCTACCTGGTTTGTTCCTAATTTCGTGCTACTTCTAAGATTAAAGAGTTGGTTTGTAGGGGGACTTCCCTGGAGGTCCAGTGGTTAGGAATTCGCCTTCCAGTGCAGGGGGTGCGGGTTCGATCCCTGGTCGGGGAGCTAAGATCCCACATGCCTTGCGGCCAAAAAACCAAAACATAGAAGAGAAGCAACATTGTAACAAATTCAATAAAGACTTTAAAAATGGTCCACATCAAAAAAAAAAAAAATCTTAAAGAAAAAAAAAAGAGTTGGTTTGTAGGGGGACTTCCCTGGAGGTCCAGTGGTTAGGAATTCGCCTTCCAGTGCAGGGGGTGCGGGTTCGATCCCTGGTCGGGGAGCTAAGATCCCACATGCCTTGCGGCCAAAAAACCAAAACATAGAAGAGAAGCAACATTGTAACAAATTCAATAAAGACTTTAAAAATGGTCCACATCAAAAAAAAAAAAAATCTTAAAGAAAAAAAAAAGAGTTGGTTTGTAGAGATGTTAAGTATGTAGGAACCTTTTTCAAAGTATTTCCTCCATATTTGATATACATATAAGTGACTTGAACCTAGGAGCATTCATTTCTTCAAAAAATATGCTTTCTCTGGCCTCATTACTATTCCATTTAACTGTTACTTTGTCAAGGGGAGAAATGCACTGTCTAACCTGAAAGAACCAGTCGTTTCTTATGTAATCCAGTCTTTGGTCATCATGGCTGATCACTTGCTGATCATGGCTGCCATAGTTTGAGAGTGCACTGAAGGGGATGGGGAAGAACTAACCTAAGTTACTTAGAAAAACAGTATTTTGACTGAACACAGTAAGGCTAAAAGAACTGTGCACAAATACTGTAGTTATTTTCTTTTAAAGAGGTGTAGATTAGCAATTCTGAAACTCTTATGGGTTTACTGGGATTTAACAAATAAATGTATTATAGTTGAGAGCTCATTGTCAGAAGCTATAAATAGGTCAAGAGGAAATGCTAGAATGAACCCTGTGGTGTTGGATTGGAATTGGCAATATCAGTATGAACTCACAGGTTTTATTTTACATACAGACAGATATAAAAATAAACATAGATTTATGTGTGGGTTAGTATACATGCATTTATTTTCCTAGTTCTTTCTGCTGAGAGAGCCCATGGATAATGAAACACCTGGCATTCAGATCTTGGTTTCCAAATACCATTCTCCAATAAAAGGAACTAGGGTTCCTAGGAGAAGGGTTGATTTGAGGGCTGGAGTAGGGAACATACAAGATGAGCATGGAACATTTTATGATGCCAAAAAGTAAGGAAATGTTTAAAAAAGGATGGGGACAGTTTGAAAGGGCACAGGAGCCAACCTGACAGGGCTCCCAATTGTCCACGCTAGAGCAGTTTAGGAAGCAAAGTAAATAATGATAGTATTGAATTATAACCCAGTGAATAAATTAAATATTTAGGAATCCATATGAATGTATAGTAATAATTGAATAAATAAATAAATGGAGTAGGGACTGTTCTTCCTTTCAGAAGAATTCCAAGTAATAAAGTAGAAGGACTGAGTGAAATATAAAATCACCATTAGACAAACATCATAGTAATATTGTCACAGACAAGATGCATCAGTGGTTGCCAAAATCAATGGGTGAAAGTTAAAAAAAAAAAAAGATTATTTGCATATTCTCGAGTATCTCTCCCAAGATATTTCTTAATCACAAAGGGAAAAACAGTAACTTTACAGTGGAGAAACTTGGCAGACAGTCTACCTGACCAAGTGAGGAAGGTTTGCACTTTAGAGTTGCTTAAGTTTGTACTTTAGAGTTGCTTAGTCCTGGTGTATTTTTAAGGTTTCTTTTTTTCCTCATTACCTACCTCCCTGATAATGATGCACTGAGAAAGGCACACAGCATCACTTTTGTGATATTCTTGCCAGAGGTACATAACATCAGTTTAATCATGAGAAAACATCAGACAAACCCAAGTTGGGAGAAATTCTATTAAATACCTGACTACTGTTCATCAGAAGTCAAGGTCCAGGACAGACTGAGAAACTGTCACAGATTTGAAGAGACCAAGGAGATACAACAGTCAAATGCAAGGTGGGATTCTGGATTGGATCCTAGAACAGAGAAGGATATTAGAGGAAGCACTGGTGAAATTTGAATAAAGTCTGTAGTTCAGTTAATAGTATCATACTAATGTTAACTTCCTGCTTTTGAAACTGTGGTTATGTAAGCTGTTTACATTAAGAGAGTCTGGTAAATGGTATATGTTTATTCTCATCTTTGGCATCTTTTCTGTAACTGTAAAATTATTTCAATATAAAAAGTTAAAAAAATGTGTTCAGCTTCTTGTGTATTGTAAAAGATGTTTGATGCATGCATAACTTGATGTTACATATTCTCATCTCCTTTAAGGCACAGATGGTAGCATATACCCTACATACTGTTTTGAAATTTGCCTTCTTCACTTAGTTCATATTTGAGATCACTTCATGTTGATACACAAGAGTTACCTCACTCTTTTACAGCAATACAGTCTTCCATTACAAGGATGTCCTGTAATTTATTTAGACTCTTATTGATGATTTTTTCAGTATTTTAGAATGGAAGATTTTGGTTGAAAAGTCATATTTCGTTAGTAGGAAAGTTGGAAGAATCTGCTTTTAGGACTAAGAAAATCTGTATTTGTGCACATAAGGCACTTCTGTGTGTTCTTTTTTTTTTTTTTCTTTTTTGCGGTACGCGGGCCTCTTTCTGTTGTGGCCTCTCCCGTTGCGGAGCACAGGCCCCGGACGCGCCGGCTCAGCGGCCATGGCTCACGGGCCCAGCCACTCCGCGGCATGTGGGATCTTCCCAGACCAGGGCACGAACCCGTGTCCCCTGCATCGGCAGGCGGACTCTCAACCACTGCGCCACCAGGGAAGCCCT